TTCAATTCTTGATTCACTAGGAGTTCTTAATTCTCGTTCTCCATCATGTAAACTCTTGTTCGAAAAGTCTGCCGAAGCGGTTACCAGACTTGGACACACAGATGATCGGCGGTTATGCTCGGGTAATTACATCCCACTTTCGGATAATTTTGCACAATCTGCAATCGTTCGTGCAATCGTTCTGCGACGCATCCATCTAACTGGCTTACACTCAAACTGCATGGCTGGCCCCCCTCCCACAGAGAGAAAAAGCCTCAAATCCCGACAACGAGTCCCCCGTGTATATAGTGGCGTAGCTTCAAGAGTAGGAGCGCTCGAGAAGGACGAGGCGGAAGTTGAAGTACGGACGAAGGTGGAGCAGGTAGTCATCATCAAGAGACACCTGTGGGTCCAAGTTAGCGGCTGCAAGTCAGGTCTATCCATAATGGAAGGGCCCGATCGAGCTAAGGACGATCGAGTTCGTGTTCTAATGAGTTCAAGGCTGTGGTCCGGTCTCGCGTTATGATCCCATGGCTCCTCAGTCTCATACGCCTCCAACGGCACAACATACTCCTTAGATATTCTATACCATGTAGGAAGGCTCACTTTCCTCATAGTGCATAGACGCTGGTATCATGTTCAGGCACTTTTCGGTGTTGTGGCGGCGATAGTACGCGCAAGTCGCGAGGACCGTCTCGATGGAATACCAGGAATACCAACATAGAAGAGCACTTTTATGATCCGAACCCAACGCATACTCTACCTGATGCTGAGTCTATGAGACTGGCCGCCCAAGTGAAGGAAAGTATGGCCCGCGTATCCCAAATGTGAGGCTATTGGTATACCTCCTGTTGATGAGTATCCAATTTGTGTAGGTATTGTGAGCTAGTCCTGCGGGTAGGCTCTTGCAAGCGAGGCATAGCGAGGACCAGACAGATCCGTTGGCGAAGGAAATTTGGTGTGCAGCTGAGTTACGAGCACGACTTCCCTAACCAGAACATGTTTGAGACCCTGTAGGGAAGATGTTCCTGTTTGTACTGGATGCATGTGTTCAGGTATTTCTTCGTATGTCGAGTAGTTATGGGATGCCTACAGGAATATCATCCTCCACGCAGGCTCTTTACATCCCCTAGAGTTGATCAACTTATTACTGCCGACCTGCACAGATTATTCAAGTCGATGAGGTAGTTCACATAGCACGGTCACTCGGGATCATAGTACTTATCAAAGTTATAATATGCATGGACGGGAACTCAAATTGAAGAGACTGGAAGAGATTGAGTCGAAGCGCAAGCGAACATTCGAGGAGACTGTTGAGGAGCTCCGATCAGCACAGTCCAAAGCCTCTGCTACTCCGGCTCCGGCGGAAGGTGGTGAGGGAATCCTCCAAGTAGCTCTTGTAAGAATCATTGATTCCCCAGGTGAGGAGGCTGTGCTGAGCAAGAGAGAACAGTTCAGACTGAAAATTGTATCCCCTTCGGTGCGGGAACTTGTGGAAGCTGCTCATGAACGGGCGAGGTTACCGAGAAGTCATAGAAAGCTAGTCCATGACTATGGACGTAGTGACAAGCGGGTGCGTGCTTCGACACCCCAGCTGGGGGTTCGCGTTAGGCTTCTCTGATACGCTTCGTGCATGCAGGTATTGGATCAGAGCATCCATGGTAGTATGTTCGTCGACTACAACGATCTGGTACCGGTACCGTATCGGCGGTCGCCTCTTGTGAGTCTACTTTTACCGAGTCCAAGAGAAGCCGTCCTCCGCATGATAGATGTAGACTTCAGCAGAGGCCCAAACAGTGGTAAGGGATTGTGTGTAGCTCCGATACTGATTTCCTTATCGTATTGTGGTAGCTCGGGAAAGCCGAAGTCGCCGAGAGGTACCTGACTCGGAAAGGATGCCACAGACGGCTCGTGACTCTACGGAGTTATCCTTACCGCCATTGGGTACTGGTAATGGGGGCCAACCAAAGGCGACCGTTGCTCCTATCGAGGCGGAAAGGTCCGATGCGGCCATGTCGCTACCACAAGAGTATCATAGTCATAGCCTTGTGCGGCATACACCGAGGGCTCGGTGGTTCACTCATGTTTAACATCACATACTCCTCTTCATGCTGCGTTGATTCACGTGCTACCTCCCCAGCACTGATAACCCACCACTGAGTCGTGTTAAGTCGCTGAGCCATGCCTCTGGTCCTGAGGTTGGGGGTAGTCAGTGTTGTTAAGGTCTCCTATCATGTCGGCTACAGAGGATGACAAAGTAGTAACGAAGGAATCTGTTGTCAAGGAGAGTGCCGCGGATGATGAAAAGACCAAGAAGAATAAGTACAACCTATTGGTAGTGGTAGTATCGAACTTAGTATACGTACACAGGTACCGTCGTGATAAACCCTGGGATCATGAAGGAATCGATCACTGGAAATATGAATCCTTCGCCAAAGAGGATAACCCATCAGGTCTCCTCGAGGAGAGCAGCTTCGCGACTCTCTTCCCCCAGGTAGCAGTGCATATCGTCTGTGTACAGTGATATTGATACACCATCTATTTCAGTATCGTGAGAACTACTTAAAGCAAGTATGGCCTGATGTTAAACAAGTGCTTGCTCCCTTCGAGATCAAAGCCGAGCTCAACTTGGTCGAGGGTTCAATGACAGTAGCCGTCCTGCTGCTTCTATGGTCTAACTCTCCCACGCTCTTGTACAGGTACGAACTACCCGAAAGACGTGGGACCCTTATGCGATCATACGAGCTCGGGATCTCATCAAGCTCCTTGCACGATCAGTTCCTCTCCCACAAGCAAAGAAGATTATGGATGATAACATGTAATAGTCAAGGGTTACTCTCAGTGTGTTAAGTGGGTTGAGGGGACTATCGATAGTCCTCAGAGTGTCTAACCTTCTGGGTCTTTCAAGAATCTAAAGTCGATCAGGTTCTGTGATATCATTAAGACTGGCGGACTCGTTCGTAATAAAGAGAAGTTTGTGAAACGCCGACAACGTTTGGTTGGGCCTAATGGAAGTGAGTGTGAGAGCATAGCATAGAATATTATTGCTCTATTGCGCAAGGTACACTGAAAGCCATCGAACTGTTAACTCAGTGCTATGTTCTGGTACAAGGACAAACTGTTGTTGCCATGGGTACTCACAAAGCCTTGAAACAAGTGAGCTCGCCGGCTCCATTTCCTGATCGTTATCACTCCGAGCAGGTCCGTCGGATAGTTGAAGATTGCTTCCACAATGTTCACCCAGTATATCATGTGAAGGAGTTGATGATTAAGAAGGAGCTCGAGAAGAATGAGGATCTCAAGGATGAGAACTGGGATCGATTCCTACCACACTTCAAGAATCGGAATGTACTTAGACACGCTATGACTTATAGTTGCGATCTCGTTCTTCGGTCAGCGGTTTCCTTCTTACTGATGGTTGATAGGTACAGCGTAAGAAGCAAAAGAAGATTGCCAAGAAATCTAAGGAGTTATTCCCTCCTGAGCAATTACCTCGTAAGACGTACGGACGGAATCAGTATAGGCATGCATTCTTCCATTCACAGGCAAGGAGGATATTCAGATCGAGACCGGTGAATACTTCCTCTCGAAGGATCAGAAACATTCCAATGAGATGACCAAGAAACGCGAACATCAGAAACAGGTGACTTGCCGCCGACCCTGAGCGCGGTAGTGGTCATGCTCGGGGTTTTGTAGGTATCTGAACAGCGCAAGAGGGAACGGGAGGAGATGTACTCCCAGCCTCCTCCAGAGAAGATTCGAAAGAGCAAGCAATAGACAAGCAGTTGATATGATGTTTACTGCCTTGTCGGACGTCATCAAGCTTTGACATACGTTTCTACCAACATACTTGGGCTTTGGAGTTAGTAACATAATCATATTCTCTCGAGATTCAGTAGTTCACACATGCCTCCACCTCTCGCGAATGATGCAAGACGCTGTGAATGTAGTATTACTCGTGCCTTTTCATATGGGATCCAAGACTATGGAAAGCCCTGCGTGTTTGAGAAGTACTCTTATAGTTCGGGGCATGGATATTATAATGTGGTAGCATTGAAAAGGGATTAGAACGACGAGAAGTCCGTCCTATTATAAAATCCTAGTTGTCGAGAAGGAGCTTATAAGTCCCGCATATATAATGTGAGTCATTCAAGAGCACGCCGCGGGTGCACGAGCAGATAGGAGTCCAGAATCCTGCTGCAAGGGGCACGAGGAGGAGGAGAACGATGCTGATGATGAGGAAGCAGCATGCGAGTTGGCAATTAGTTGTCTTAGACGTCCCCACTGAGTTACGTTATGGGGTTTCTGAACAAAGGACGAGGTGTCCTCGTCCTCTGTGCTGTCGTTGTCGTCGTCCTTGTGGTGGGTTTGGATGCCACTCATATCTCTTGGCTGCTGTTGGGATTCCCAACATGGGAACCTCTTTGAATGTTCAGAGGATGCATCTATTATGTTTCCATACTTTCTTGTTAGTGCATTATCATTCCCTATGGTGCACCGTAAGGCTACTCCAAAAGCACGTCGAGAGCGTGTGTCGATGGATACTACAACTCCTCCTCCTCAGCAGCAGCATGAGGTCGCCAATGCAGATGAGGAGACCTCAGCAATCAAGACAAAGACCAAGAAGGGTAGTCGGAGGGGTAGTCGGGATAGCAGTACCATCGATAGCCCCCGGAGGAAGGAGGTAAGATGTAGGAGCCAATACTCTAGTCGAACACACTCTGCTGCTGCTGCTGTTGCGATCATCCGAGATCCGATGTCATTGATCCCTATCAGCGACTAGTCGGTCATATTGTATGGCTTGTTCATTTGTCGATCATTCCCGGACCTGTTCTCGACCCTCTGCATTCCTTGTTCAGACTAAGCACTCAGCTGGTGGAAAGGCTAAACGGAGTAAGACGGAGAGCCAAGGCGCCTTTCCGGAGCATAGAAGGGTGATCCCCTTAACAGAGGAGCTGCGCGAGGCGATACTGGCAGCTCATTCATCTGGAGTGGTGTTGAAGAAGCTAAAGCCAGAGTTCCATCCTGATTTAAAGTGGGTAGATTCTTCACTGGCATGTTCTCGGTCTGCAGCCTGAAGACCGAATTGTTGATCATGCTCCGTTTTCAGGGTCGAGAAGAGAGTTCCTGCTGAGGCAACGACGACGACGACCCCAAGTCCACAGCCCGCCCTTGCAGAGAGTAAGGCCTTGAGAGAGCTTGTTACTCTGCAGGGAATGTAAGTCAACAGACTATGCCTCAACACGTACATGGACTTCTGGTCTATCAGGTACATCAAATTGAAGGACCTTGCTCTCCATCAACATACTGATATAACACGTTTACAGGCTGAGAACCAGGCCGTCAATGCAGCCCTACAGCGTACTTTGGCTAAGTGCAATCTATATAAACAACAACTCGACTACCAAATGCAACGACAACAACAGCAACGGGTAGTAGTGTCGAGGGCATCGAAGTTGCTTTAAATGATGCTCTGTCAGGCCTCCAATCAGTTCCAGAGTGTGGACCATTCGAGGGGTTCCGCGAACACCATAGCATTATTGCAACAACTAGCGGCTACTGGTGCCATGGACACGAGTGGAACTCAGCAGCCATCGGCATCTGCATCACCCATACATCTAGGAGCATTCTCTGCTACTGTGCCCTCCGCAAGCTCAGTACCCAGTCTTTTCCCAGTACTCAGGCAGGATAGCTTTGGAGGTAGATGATGTACCATCTTCTTATGTTACAACTTGTCTTGAGTCTGCAACCTTTCAGAGGCGAATCCGCAACTGCCACAAACGGCACAGATGAGTCCGACAATTGGCAATGCAAATCTAAGTCACTTACTACGGCACGGTATATCCACTCTCGTTCTAGCATGAGCTTTCCTTCTCAGGCAAAACGTGCCATTTAATGAACCCAATAGGCCCAGCCCACCACCATTCACCTTGCCAACATTGCCTTCAGCGAGGTTCGATGCGAGCGGACAACTGCAGACTTCTCCTCAAGGTGGTTCAGGAGAGCCGAATAAGATTTTTAATACTGCGGCAGGGTCGGGGGAGCATCACCAAAGTTATACCAGTTCTCCTTCTCTCAATGGCTCCGCCATGAGTACTCCAGACAGTGGTCTCCCTCCGAGTGATCAGGGAGGGCCAGGCGCAGCTGAGGACAGATCGGCTGAGGCTTCGACTACTGTGGCAGCACCGCCTATCGACCAAAGCACCGTTGCTGATGCAGAAACTAAACCGGGTTGTGGTGAGGAGACTGAGGTGGTGTAGCATGCTATCAGGGTAGAGTATTAGATTATTGAAATTTCATGAGAGTCGTTCCCCCTAACTCAGTTCGTCTCAGTGATGTTGGTCTCTTTATTATCACCTTGGAATTCCAACTGCATTATTGGGACAGTCCAGAGAGCCTATCTACTAGCTCCCTGTTCTCTCCGCTTCTCTTACATTCGACTGCTGGTCGCACGTATCATATCGTCTACGGCCCTATCGGAGATAGGCATGGTTGTCAGTGCAACATTTGAAATCTCATTTGCACTGTAGATAATTCTAGGACTCGTTGTGTTGTGTTCATTGTGTATGAAAGAGAATCGCCTGTTCTTGTAAGCACGTGTCTCGAACAGTTATCACTTCAACTCCTAAGTTTGGCTTATTCGCCGCTTATTTGTTACTTTGAATGTCGGTCGTCGCACACTCTCCAGAAATACGAGGCGAGGTTTTCGGCCAGAGTAAAATGCGGAAGCTACGGAAACAGAGAGATATCGTGAAGAACCCTCATGCGTGGATTAATGGAGCGCTACAGCCTCCTACGAGGAAATCCAGCAAGTTCCCGAAGCATCCTATAGCATGCGAGGATGGTGGGGTACGTAACTTCGACTGGAAGCACTTCGTTTGTAATCTAGAGGATGAGGCCACATGCCAAGACTTGATTGGGTGCGGAATCATTGATTGTTCTTGTAAAAATCGTGGTGGACAATTGCGTCCGGTGTTGGAGCGGGCTGATGGGTCTGAAGTTGTCTTGTTGGGTATGTGCTATCTGGTGTATCAAAAAGACGAGTTGAAGCATGTTATTGCCAACTCGGCAACTGTAATGACTTGCTATACGGAGGCACTGAGGGAACTCGAGAAGCACATCAAGAAGTTGTCTAAGTTGACTGAAGGACGATTATCGACCCGCGATATCATCCACGGGTTATTATTGCGATTTTCTCAACATCTCTTTGGTGTGGCCAACATTGACATAATATGCTCTCATCGTGTCACGGAGTTGAAGTATATGCCTAGAAAACGTGGCTCTAAACTAACTAT